TGGGATGGGCACCACAGGTCTCCGGTGGGGGCACCCGTGGAGGCAGAATCCGAAGGGCAGGCTCTGGACCCGCACAGGTGTGGGGATGGGCCCAGGCCAGGCACCCGGCCGTGTCCTCAGAAGCACTGCGGCTGCTCACACCCTTCCCAGAGCCTCCACCTGCCCATCCCCTGCCCTCTTGGGTCAGAGCACAGAAGGTGGCTCATCCACGCTAGTGCCAGGCCGAAGGCTGCTGGGCTGCGTCCCCGCAGACTCAGCACATGGCACAGCTTCTCGAAGGACAGCAAGCCTCGACCTCAAACCCGCTGCTTCCTGAACCAACGCACTGGTGTGTCCCTGGGGAGGGGCAAGGATGGGGCATCTCGCGTCCCCCGAGCTCCCAAGCAATGGGCCTGGGAAGGTGGGCAGCCCCCAGAAGCCCTGCCGGGGGCTCCAGGCCCGACCCCTCGGAAGCACTGCAGGCCGCCACCCTGCTTCTGCACGGCACCTGCACCGACACCCGCAGAGGCCCAGCCAGGCCCACGGGCTGGGAGCAGACGGCCCCAGGGTGAGCGCCCGCCTCTCAGGGGGCAGCCCCCGCACGCAGGCACTTCCCGCTCAGAGGTGGCTGAGTGCGTATCAGGGGTGCCCACTGCATGAGCAGACAGAGCGGGATTTGCCGGGGTACAGAAAAGCACTGTTTCATGTTATACCAAAAAGGTCTGGGGCCTTTCATTTTCGACCAGGTAAAATTATTATGTATATTTTGTACCCACAAATGTAAAATTGTTAACAGCTGGGCAAAGGCCCCCCTGTCCCCACCGCCGGTAGGGAACAATCAATTGCCTATCGCGCTGGCTGCACCTTGGAACCAGAATCCCGAGTGCCACGCACTACGGCTGTCGCCGTGCCCACCCCTTCCGGGCCGTGGCAGCAGAGCCTCCTCATTCTGATGGCCCTGCCAGCTTTCTGCAGTGGGGATTTCCAGCCAGCTGGAACTCTTTCTGCATCTAAATTATATTCTCTCAGCAAGACTATTCTCCGTTTGCAGAAGGGTTCGTTTTAATTTCGGCTTTGGCTGGTGTGCGGCAAGTTCCTTCCGCTATGTTCTCAACAGAAATGTTATCGCCCAGAAAAGCAAGCTTCATGTTAAGTACACAAATACTATAGATGGTACATGTCAGAAAACTGCCGAGAGCCCCTCAAAATGATGGACAGGAGGGCGGGGAGGCTGGGAGCGAGGCCGGGTTCTCAGGGAGGGAACAGTGAGCAGCTCTGAATCGAGGGCTTGACAGAAACCACTGCTGTCCCACCTCTCTGGATACTGTGCTTATCCAGGGGCAACACTGACCCCGACCTTCGGGGCCAAAGGTGGAGAGGGCAGGACTCTGAAGTGGGGGGATTCTAGGGGCAGACCCCACAGGAGCCTCTCACACTGCACCCTATGGGGAGAAACACCACCACTATGAAGGGAGATGCGCCCAGGAGCAGACGTAGAGCAGGCGAGCAGGGAAAGGGACCAGATCTCACGCAGTCTCTCCGCAGAGACGCATGCAGCATGCTGGTCACCAGCTCCCGACAGACACCCGCTCTGGAACCAGGTGCTGACACCCTGCCCACCCAAGCCCCAACTGGGCCCCAGGACGATGCTCGCAGCAGGACTCATCGCCCTGGAACCACGTGCAAGATGCACAAAACTCAGACGCAAACACTGGCCTGTTGCTGGAGCACAGCCCGCGGTGCAGGCTGAGCAGGGGGCCTCCCACGGGTAAGGAGCAGGGGCAGCATGTGGGAGACGTCGCTGTCCTTGCTGAAACAATTTCTTAACTAAGAACTTCAAAACTTCACACCCATAGTATGAACAAATGAAACCTACTTCTTTAAAGATAAAATCTGCATCTCCGGCTTCCTGTTAGAAGAGCCCTTAGAGACGCCTGCTCTGGCACTCAGCCAAGCTGCAGCCCACAGTCAGCCTCCTGCACCAGCTACGCTCCTCTGGGGAGGGCCTTCCACCTGCAGCCGTGTGGCCTGGTGGGGTGCCCGCGGGGATCCCCAACACATCGTGGACATCGGAACCAATAAACAACCCCAGGCATCTGTGGGACCAGGTCCAGCACGCCCTCTCCTGGGGACGCGCTCCCCTTCAAGTCTTGGACACGTCTCCTCAAAGTGCATTTTCCTTTGTAAAATCCAAACACGGTATCGGGCAACCCCTCAGGCGGACTGAATCCACACGGCCACTGCTGTTCAGAAAGACAGAGTTTATTCAGTGCTGCTGTGTCCACAACTCACGAATGACAGCGGGTCACAGAGTTCTGGTCAAACTCCTCCGCCAGCCTTTACCTAAGAACAGTTCACATGCCTTTACACAACGGGGGACGTCACCCACCCATCAAAGCAGTGTGTCAAGGAGACCCTCAGGGCCTTACTGTGCACATCCTGGAGTTCTGTATGTGTGAGACGGGGCGAGAGTCAGGAAGTGGGTCAAGGGTGTGGGGACCAGGTGGTCTGCCTGCTTTGGACATTACGGCAGGCGCGGGGCTCCGGCGGGCTTGCTGACACAGTGGGCACGGCTGCAGGCATCTTCCCGGCGCTGCACAACAGGCCCCGGGGGACCTGCAGGGCTGTCCTCACCTGTGGGTCCCCCATGGGGGACCAGGAAAATCGCCATCACACTCATGATGGGGTGTCTACGAGAACTGCCGCCTGTTTCCTGGCAGGTGTGATTTTCCTCAGGTTCGCAGTTTTATCTCTACCCAGAGTAAAAACAGAATGAATGGGCAGCTGTTCCATCCCCAGCCCCGGGCAGCCTGAGACTGGTGCCGCACGCCTGTCCTCTACAAGCCCAAGCGTGACAGTGACTGCGGCTCCCTCTGCACCCCGGCTCTGCCAGACCTGCAAATCATGCAGATTTGCGCCCAGGGCGAGCATGGACTGTGCTTTCTTATGAGAAAGCAGACACCCACTGCCTCTTTGTTTTGACACATGAGCCATTCAGAACAACCCATCCTGAACTGGTAACAGGAAGACTGGTAACTGAAAGGTTCCAAAACAGATATTTGGCCAGCAGGCTTCTGAGGGGAAAAAAGGGGCTTCCGACAAACAAAATGGGTTCTGGCACGCAAGCGCTTCATTCATTTCTGTTGTATGCCAGAACCCACACTTGAAATTGAATGAAAACGCAAGGTAACCAGCCTTGTGGCACACCTGCTCTTGAAGAGGGAGGTCTGGCCCCCTGCTGTTCTGGCGCACGCCCAGGTAGCACATGGCTGCTTGCCCCAGCTGGGTGGCTGCTGGGCGGCTGCCCATCAGCAGCAGAGGGACAAGGTGAGGCCGGAGCGACCCGCTGCGGTGGACACTAGCGACCGTCTGTGACTCTTTGTAAGCAGCTATGTTCTTGAACTTCTGGCTACAAAACCTGACAGAATCGAAAGGTACTTTAGAAAAAAGTGAGTACTTTCTCAACATAAAACCTCATGTCTATAAGCAGTGCCTGTAAGAAAAAGTGCAGCTGTAGAACCACACTGTTCTAACAACATTATTTAGTTCCTCATCCTCAACACACTGAAAATATTCCAACGTGGAATATTAAAAACTGTATGGTTGTATTTCAACCCTGGCTTTTTTAAGGGTTGTAAGCACTTCTGTGAAACTGTCATACACTGCTCTGAATTAGGATGATGGGCGCATCGGCCCAGCTCTTCAAGGCTTCAGTGTGGAGGAGACCAGGGCACTATGTGGCTGCTTTTCTCTGCAACACTCACACGCGTGGAAATGCCAGTGACGGAACAGGCGGACTCACACTCCGTGCGGGGAAGCGCTCCGAAGCGGTGGAGGGAGCCACGCGAACTGCATCTGACTCTCAGTGTCTGAGGAGGGGGCTGTCTGTCCACAGTGCTCCTGACTATGGCAGGCGCCCAGCTGCCCAGGACGCTGCAGTGCAGCGTCAGGCTGAGGTGAAGAGCTGGCTCACTAGAGCCAAGACGCTTAGCAGGAACCAAGACAATCACAGGTGCTTTTCTTCCCTGGAGCTTCCTCCTCCACGCACAGCCCGCGAGGCGCTTACACCAAAGACTGCCCCACGGGCCAGTGCCCGGCTACGGGTCCCTGGTGCTCAGAGCAGGGTGCTTCTCAGCAAGATGCAGACCCTCGGGGACTGAAGTCTGGGTCCAACTCAGAGGCTGCTGAGAAACTTTATTTCCATTCTTAAAATCCAAAAAAGAAAGGAACGGCTGAGGTTGGGGTGGGGGGAGCATGCTTCATGGTGGGAGGCCCACCGGGACTGTCTGCCAGGAGGAAAATGCTCCCTTCCGCACCGTGACGGAAACCACTGGCCAGCTGGCTTCTCAGCACCTGAGCTGTGGCCAGTGTGACTGGGGAGCTGAATTTTAAACCACAATTTATTCACTTGGATTTATAGAGCCACTTGTGGCCACAGCTGCCACGGGGAGCACAGGGGGGCTCTAGGGGAGACGCAGGTCAGCAGGACCCACGACTTCCAGCTTCCCTCCTGAACCAGGATGCTGAACTCTACCCTCAGCCTGCGAGAAATTTTACTTGTTTTCTACGTTTCCACAGAGGTGAATAAAGAAACGTGATTTTCCCTCTTGTTACTCTTTTGGTTGATAACCTGGGTTTTATGCAATTAAGACAGTATATTATTTTGCTTTTGTGTTTCATCCCATCAACACTCTAAGCTCAAATCAATCTTCAAGGAAGGAACCATGAGCCCAGCTGGTGAATGAAGGTCATCACATCGAGCTTTCAGAATTTCCTGCAAAACTATTACACGGTCCTATAAATCTATGATCTTTTCTTCCATTTTGCTATTTCCCCTTCAGGTTTTTTCCCTTTTCTCTGATGTAGTTACACTGTTAAAACAAAAAAGTTAATGCTTCAGAAGAGCTCCTAACCCTAACGTATGTCTGAAATATACCAGCCACAGCCAAGCAAACGTGAGTGAAGTGCCGAGCACGCACGTGGGCATCCGGATGCACCACCACGTCTGCAAACACGTGGAGTCACGGGCCATTGAAACTTTTATTTTTTGAAGTCTGACAAATCAATGTACAAAATCCGCATGACACACAGCATGACTGGGGTGAAATTAAATTCTTCTAGTAACGCCCAGCCTTTCCGCGCAGACTTTGATAATCATGGATCGCTGCAGAGTGAAGTGAGAGGTCCCCAGGACCCTTCAAATGGAGGCTCCCTTCCACTCCCCTAACTACATACTACCAGGCAGGCTGCTCTTCGCTGGGCCGCTGCTTCCACCGTGCAATTCTCGCATCATTCACATTTCCTGATTTCGAGGCCACACGGAGTCCCAGGGCGGCAGACCGGAAGCCTCTCCCACTGCGCTGCAGCTGAGCGGGGCGGGGCCCGTCACTTCAGCCAGATCCACTTGTCGCCCACGTCGGCATTGTACCCAGGGCAGTACCTGCGGCCCGGCAGCTGTGGGAGGGAAAGCCATCATCACATTCAGTCACAAGGACGCCTGTTCCCCCTGCTCCCCCCCCACCGGCTTCTCTGCTCTGCCCTCCATTAGCCGGGCCATGGAGGCCCGCCCCGTGGAGGCCCTGCTGCAGGCGCACCGGTGCAGCAATGAGCAACACAGCTGCCGCGGGGCTCCCATCCTGGCCGAGGGCGCTACAGACGTACACCGCCGCGCCAGCGCTCCTGTGAACACCAGGAGGGTGACAAGTGCCATGGGAGGGGACGCAACAGTGGGGGCGGCACTTGGGTGAGAGCCGGCGATGGGAGTGAGCTGTGCCGACCCCCTGGGGGGCATCTGGCCTGGGAAACAGCATGTCTGTTCTTATGCTTTGACCATTATGACTTGAAAACATACTAACTTCAGAAAAACCTCGTGCCAAAATCACACCTAATAAGGCCAATGCCTGTCCAGGGCCTGGCTGGGCCAGCAGGATGGCAGCCATGCTGACCTGAGTTTAACAGGGGCCTTCCGTAAGGCGTGTGACTGGGCAAAGGGCGCCCACCGGGGCCAACCGCGGGGGAACTGTGGGCGCCCAGACCCCCAGGAGCCGTGGGAGGACGCTGGCCCGCAGAGCTGCGGCCCAGGGGGCAGGGCACGGCTGCTGCTGGAAGGGTGGACGGACGCCTCAACCCCGCCCCGCCGGCGGCAGCCGCTGCCAGCACCTCCCACTGCGCGCACACCGGAAGCGGGGGCGTGGCCGGGGCGGATCGGGGGCGTGGCCGGGGCGGGCCGGGACGGATGGGGGCGGCACAAGAGCGCCCACGGACCGAGGGGTGCGCGGGGCAGGCGGGGCGGGAGCAGGCTCGGAGCTGCGGGCACCGCACCCGCGGAGCCAGGGGGCTCACGCCACCTGATGGGAGTCCGCGTAGTGCCAGGGAAACATTTGCACACTGCGTTTTGCCAAGTTCCACAGGTGGGAACAAAATACTGGGCTTTTTCACATTTTCAAATCAATGTGGACAGTCGATTTCCATATATTGCACACAAAATCTTTCCAGAGCAAGCACTAGAAAATAAACCAGCTCTTCCTTTATTCCCGGCAGCAAACGCAGGCACCCCAAGGTGAGTCACTAGAATGCAGGTGCTCGGAGAGCCGAGGCGGCCCCGGGCCTCCTGGGGCCGCAGAGAGCTCGGACGGCACCCCGAGGCTCCCTCTCCGGGCGGCCTGGCCAGGCCTCCTCGACTGTTCTACGAGTTTGCAGGGGGACTGTGCGACCTCCAGGGGGAGTCCCGGCTGCAGGAAGACGGAGGACGTGGGCGAGGTGAGACGGCGCACGGGAGGCAGGGAGCCGGTAAATGGGCGAGGAGACGTGCGCCTGCCTCCGGCTTTCTGGCCTGGGATGCCTGATGATAAGGCTTCATCCAGCCGCCAGGAGCACACTGGGAATACAGAAGAAAAGAATGCCCCGCCGCCCCACGAGTTCATAATCTCTGGAAGAGACTAGGAAGGGAGCAGGTATACATACCCAGGAGTGCATGAGCGCCCAGTGCGCCTGACTCAGCAGAGCCCTGCATGTGTGCAGCTGACCGGCAGAGTCCAGGGAGGCGGCACAGAGTGGGGGGCATTCTGGGGAGGATGGACTCCCAGGGCTGCTGCACGGGCTCCGGGAGACAGGAAGTGGCAGGAAGAGGTCGGGAATGAGACAGGTATTTCCACTTCAGTTCTGACAGGCACTTGGGCACAAGGTGATCAGTGGGCCAGACAGCTGCAGGCCCTGCCTCGTATGAGAGCCACAGTGACTCCTACATGCCTTGAGGGCTCGGGAAGTCCTGGTTAACGGGGCAGCAGGTGCAGGGGAGCGCCAGGTGGTTTCCCAGGGATGCTGAGCCCCCTGCCTGGTTATGGAAACAATGGGAGCAGCTTGGTGTTGGGGGCTGCCTGGAGGTGACCAATGGGCAGCTGGAAAATTGGGCCTGTAGCTTTGAAGACAGGGCCACAGTAGAGGGCTAGGGCCATGCAGCCACCATCCAGCACTGAGGGGGAGGTGACTAGTGGCTCATGCACAAATCCAGGGCAAACATGAGAAAAGGAAGTGCATGAGAACAGTCCTGGTCCCTGGGTGAAGCAGCCTGGCAGGAAGGACAGAGGACTGGCGCGGGCAGACCTTGGGTGCAGGCTGGAGAAGGGGCTGGGCTGCACAGGACACGAAGGGACCTCGGCTGAAGCCAGGACTGAAATGCCCACAGCTCTGACAGGAGGACGGCAGAGCAGAGACCCACTCGTGTGAGACACAACAGAGATGAGGAAAGGGGGACAAGGTCCGGGCTGCTCTGAAAAGCAGAACTAGAGACAAGGTAAAGCACCCGCGTGCGTGTGCGTGGGGGGTGGCGGGGCAGAGTCTGGACCAAGGGGCTGCGTCAGGCAGAGTGATGCCCCCAAAGGCGTGCGTGCCCTATTCCCCAGCACGGTGACACGTGATCTCACACATTAAAGGGACTGTGCAGAGTGATGAAGTCGAGGCTCATGAGCAGGGGGCGGTCCAGACACCGCCACAGGCCAGAGCAGGGGGGACGAGGGGAAGCAGACCCTGCCAGGAGAGCACCTCCAGGGACAGGTCCTGCCCACACACCTTCCTCTGTCCTGGCCTTGAGCCCTAAGGCAATTCAGCCCTGCTGTCTTAGGCCACCTGGTTTGTGGCAGTTCATTCCAGCAGCTGCAGGAAACTCAGACGAGACGTCTGCACAAGAGAAAGGACACTGGTGGGGGGCCCGGCAGCGGCTGCGGCACAACGGGTACCCACTGGGGGCCAGGAGGACGGAGGACATGCCAGAGGGCTGCTGATGCAGCACTAGCTTGGGCTCCTTCCCCCATCTGGTTCCTGACCCATGAAGTGCCCAGCAAACTGCTATTCAAACGCAGCAGCCATGGTAAGAAAAGAACAGCGGTAATTCTCACCATATTGCCAAGTAAATTTTCTTTTTATCTGAAGGACCAACTACAGCATTGAGGCCAAAGAACAGAAAGCCCACATCTCAGTGAGCGGTCATCTGACAAGCCCTCCGACTGCAGCAGCACCCTCAGCAAACCCGCACAGCGGCCAGCCACAGCTCCCGGGCCTCCCTGGTCGGCGCGCCCAGGGGTCTGAGCTCCTGTCACTCCCTGCTGGCGGCCAGGCAGGTGGTCGCGGCACGGAGCGCTGGCCAGAGCAGGGTGACCGCCCACCGCACACGTGGGCACGCACAGGCTCCTCAGCGGCCGGGCGCCGTGCCAGCTCCTCTCCAGAACACGGGCTGCTTACTCTAGACTCACCAAAAAGCTCGAACATCAAGCCCCAAGGGCTTACACTGATTGGCAAGGATATTAACTGCCTACCAGGAACAATTCTAACTTGAAAGGAATAAAACAAGACCCAGTGCTCAAAAACCTAAAATTCACAATGAAAAATTTCCAGACACGTGAAAGAAAGAAGATATAAGCCATAATCAAGGGAAAATACCAGGCTGCCTCAGAAATGACAAAGATGGAGAATCAGCAAACAAAGCCATTAAAACAGGTATTATAAAAATGTTCAATATGCTCAAGGAATTCAATGAAAAATGAAAAAGTAAGAGAACTGGAAAATACAAAAAGATCCAAAATGAACTTTAAAGAGTTTTTCAAAAAAAGGATTCTGGAAATAAAATCTCCCTGGATAGGTGTGCTGGCCATGAGGGTGCTGCCAGGTGCTCCCCCAGTGGGGGGGCACCCACCCTGACAGCCCAGCTACCAGGCCTGCCCCCCCCACCCTGCGGCCAACGGCGAAGCAGGGGTCCTTGGCCAGCCTGTTCCCGCAGCAGGTGGGCCTGTCCCAGCAGATGCTGTGGCGCCAGGACCCTCAGCCTGAACCATCCCTCCTGGGCGGCTCCCTCCCACCCTCCTGCCCTCCCTCCTCCAGCCACAGATGTCAGCCTGACGCGCAGGACAGAAGGCTCTCGCTGCAGCTCGGGTCTCTCCCATTTGTCCTCCACCAAAATCTTGTCAACGGCCAGTCCCATCTGGGCTTCTGTTTCTTGCAGGACTTGAATTAATAGCACATTATGTAAACACAGAAGAAAACATTAGTGAACTTGAAGACAGAGCAACAGAAACTATCCAAAATAAGGCACAAAGAAAGGTGGAAAATGAATGGGGAGTCTCAGTGACCAATGGGACAGTGCCAGGTCACCCAATGCATGTGTGCTTCAGAGTCGCTGAAGGTGAGGAAGAAACAAAACCTGAGATTTAGCGACCAAATGTTTTCCAGTAATACGAAAACGTTAAACCCTCATGTCCAAGAACCCCAGACCAAGCAGGGTCCACACACACAAGGACACACGGATGGACACCACAACTAAATTAGTGGAAACTAGTGGTAAAGAGATGAAGAGAAGGTCTTAAAAGCAGCCAGAGAAGAAAGGCCCACTAGGAACAGGACCAAAGGCAAGAAGCGTGAGACTTCTCATCAGAAACCGTGCCCAGCCAGGAGCCTTGCAGCGTCATGGAGACTGTCAGCCTTGAAATCTGTGGTGAATGAAAATATCTGTGAAAATGATATTGAAATAAATACTCTTTTCAGCACAGCTAATAGAACTCACTGCCAGCAGACCTGCACCGCCAGGTGGGTCGCCAAAGGAAGGTGCCCGCCCAGGCGGGGGGAGAGCCGGAACACGCTTCCCCACGGGGCCCAGGAGGGCGGCTCTGGAGGGGCAGTGAGAGACGAGGGAGACTCTTCTAAGCTCTTCAGAAGATGACCTACTACTTACAGCCTGAACAATCACAGAATGCTGTGAGGTTTACGGCCTTATGACCTGCAGAAGCAGAGGGCATGGGAACGACATCACAGGGGACGGGGAGGGCAGAGTGCGGTCCTGCAAGGCCCTGGGCCACGTGGGAAGTGCCCCACTGCTGTGACTACTGACTCCCTGTCAGCATCAGCTGGCTGTGACAAGGTAAGACATGCACTGCAGACCCCAGAGCGTCACTACCAGTGAAACAGAG